ATAAGTACCCCCTGTGCTGCTTGTAATTATAGGAAACCTGACCCATACATTTTTTGCATGAGTATCACAATGTTAAGATTATTGGTACTAAAGTGTTGTCTATAAATTCTGATATTTTCCATTCTCAAAGAGAATTTTGTTCTATTTTCTTTTTGTTCACCTGAGATTAAAGTCATTATTCCATTGAAATGTTACAGGATCTGACAAGCTTAGATCAAATTCACCCAGCAGAAGAAAGCTGGGAAGTTACTTACATTAGAACTGACAAAGGTTCATGAGGTTTCCTATCGAACAAAATGTGCCTGAATTTCTATCAGGCATATGAAAAATGAAAATATCTGGTGTCCCTGGGTTCCCAGCATGTGGGGTATGGTATGTGCACAGGCAGTATAAATTACTCTTATTGGGGTTTTGTTTGTTTGTTCATTTTTTAAAGTCAAGATAATAAAAGGGGAGCATTCTACTCTTGCTCCACTTGCACAGGTTTTGATTAATGCAAAGACTGCAAAGATAAGCGTGACCTTTCCATTCCTTTCTTTATTCCTTCTCATAAGAGACACTTTTCCCTGTTAGCAATCTCTGGAAGTACCTCCCCTTTGCTTGGAGCTCTCTGGTGCTGTTTCCCAAATGGCAATTGTTTAGAACATCTTGTCTGGCTCCTGCTCTCTGCTGCTACCTTTCTGCATATAATTGGTGAAAGGACAAAACTGAGAACTAAACAATTTTTCAAGTAAACTTTCATAAACTCAAATAAAACCCCTAACAATTTTCTTCTAACTCTTTCAAGCAAGTACTGTGTATTCTCAAGGTCATTATTAGTACACCAGCTGCTGGGGAGAGACTTTAGTAAAGAGGGAAAACTGGAAGAAACATAAACAGATGTTGTGCTACTGAGCCCTCCCGTTTTTACTGCACTGGATCAGTGACCACAGTTCACATGCACGCTGATGGACATCTAGTTACAAATTAGTTACACCAGTTACGTGAAGAGGCTACAAATGGTGAGAACTGAAACTGAAAAATCACAGGGTGGCATAAATATCAAGGTAGCCTTTTTTCATAACTATAAAACCTAGATTTAGTAATATATATTTTTGACTTCAGTGTAATTTCTGCTGTCCAAGAGAAGTAGCAAACTACTTTAACAGACTGCCTAAACAAGCTGTATCAAAGCACTATGAAAGCAGAGGCTGAGCATTCTAGAGCAGCTGCAGTGGTTCTGCTGGAGCAACCATTCCATAAGGAGGTGCCTCCAGCCAAATTCAGCTGGTTTGCAGCTGTGAGAAAATTCAACAAGCAACACTCAGGAATAAAGGTACTTTAAAGGAACACGAGGATTATGTCTAAATGTATTATCTACTCTTAAAGGCATTTTCTGAGACATCTAGATGAAAATTATTCATGGCATGACTTGAAGATTAAATGAGTGTTTGTGAACACCATTTCCTTGTAAAAAGACTGGAAAACTCATATGTTCTTTCTCCTTTAGGAGACAACAGCATGATTTACTATTAGGATGTTGAATGTTAGGAAATAGAGAAATCAAGTGTTTGCTGTAAGGGCATTGAAGAAATCAGTGCAGTAACCAAGTACAGGATTAGACTCTTGGCAATATGAACTGATACCTTTAAATCAGCTCATCTACTCTTTTTGTTCTATTTTTCCCACTAAGGATTAAAGGAACTTCAGTATCTGATGTGGCCAGTCTGGTGCATTTAATGTCATTAATGATCACTTCAAAGAAGAAAAACACAATGTAGAAAAACAGAGTAGATTTTCCACATTACGAGTAATTGGCAACATCAGTGAAGAGTCAGCACTTATCCTGTAATGGTCAATTCAACCACACATGTCTAAGTGCCAAACCACAAGCCCTTACAATTCAGTAAACTCAGTTAATTGATTTTTTCAGGTTGAGATCATGCTTATATTTATGCCTGAATAAAACTTCCCCATTAAAATAACTTGGACAATGTCTGTTCCTTAAAATTTTACAGATGAGTTGTAGGCTGAAACACAAACATTTTTTAAGTACATATTGAATAGCAAACAATGTAACAGCAACTGTACATTACATTGTGCACAGCTATTCTGGGGACAAGTTCTGCTCCACTGAAATAACTTCAAATCTGGTACAAATTAGCAGAATCCACCTATCATCTCCAGTTTATTTTCTTGATGGAGATGTACTGCAGCAAGCCTGAATCTTTCAAATATTCCACTTAATAATATTTTCCATTTATAAAAAATTTGCATGATTTTATTGACTGGCAGTTTACAAGTACCAGCTTGTTACTACTTTTTACTGTAAATTGCTGCTTCCAGGTGAAAGCTTTACACTTATAAATACACTGAAACAAATGCTGCTTCAAATCCAAATGAAGCAATGTTCAAAAGGCCTTCTTCTGCCTTATGTTCTCCCACTATCCATAAAGCTGCCTACTTCATTCCCACTTAAATGGTATTGGAGTTGCATTCCCTATGCAAAACAAAGGAAAAAACTGCATTTCAAAATATTACTTTTTATATATAAAGTGTGATAGCATCACTTTCTTCTTACTATGTTTTATTAAAGAACAAGTTGACTGAAAGAGTTAATATTTTCACCATGGTGAAAAGAAGGCTCAAAGTGGGACCTCCTCACATTTTTCCAGTGTTTAGAGGACAGAAATTCTCTTCACAGGGAGCCACACTGAGAGGATAAGGGGCAACAGGTACAAGTTGCATGGAGAGAGGTTTCATCTATTCAAATTTTTTACAGTGAGAACAAACAATCGCTGGATGTGGTGGAGTTGCCATCAGGGGCAGAGCTCAGGATGAGACAGGACAGAGTGCTCAGTAATCTCACACAGGCTTGCCTCAGCATGGAAGTATGGACCACACAAACTTCTGAGGTCCCTTCTAACCTGAGGTCCCTTCTGTGAATCTCTCTACTTACCCTTTAAATCATAATTTACCTGCCTTGCTTGCATGAGTAGTTGCACAGCACTGGTCAATGAGGTGTGCAAATAGTCCTTACATTTTTCTGGACAGAGTAGAATATACTCTTAAAATATGTGCCCCAAGGTCTACTTTATGTTGTTCTTCCAGGTATGTGGCTGATATCAGATTTAGACAGAGATGGCAATTTTCAGTGCAAACCAAGGCATGATTTACTTCTACATCACAAAACTGCATAGCTTCACAAATTATTTGTAACAGGACTCTACGGGGTAGTTTTAAAAGATAACCAGGTTAAACCCTGACACACAGGTTAAAAGTGATCAGAAGACACCAGAAATCCAAATTACAGTGACAACAGATTGGAGAAATGTGGGGCTTTTCCATACGAGGTTCTAGACTGACTTGTCCAGAACTGAAATGAAAAGCCAGACACATGGATTTTGAAAAAACAGAACATTTTCAGAATTTCTGTCATGTGAAAAGCTCTTGCTCACCATCTGTCAAGTTTGGTGTCATCAGGCAATTCTGAGCATTACCCAAAGGAAACATTTAGGGCTATTTGTTTTCTGAAGATCTGAATTTAACCAGCTCCAGACAGCTGACTTTGGACTAGGACCAAAATACATAAGACTTTTTCATTATTGTGGACAGTTTTTTTTTCATCCATGTAATCTGAGAGGATAAAACCTAGCTTCAGTTAAATTACTGTAGTGTTTTGCTTACACATGTTAGTAGTTTGTGCGTTTGTTTAATTTTAATTGGATAGAAACATAAGGAACCAAGGAGATATGTTTTCTGTTTAGTAGAAGCTTTTACTATTTCAAATTTCGCAACAAGCAGGTAATCTGAATGACAGCCTATTCCAGTATTGCACTTCTGGTTTGACAAATAAAGGTTAAGCTTCAACATCAAATAATAGCCTAACAACCTTTCAAACCCTGGTAAATACAAATAGGTGAGTGTTTTGTAGCCAACAACTGAGAAATGCAATATCACACTTGGGTCTCTTGAAACCTCCACATGATCTCCAAGAAGCAAGCATTCAACACTGTTCAAAGTCAGATAGAGAGGTACCGATCCCTTTCACGTAACATGTCAACGTGTTGTGAACTGACTACTTCCAAATATCAAATTATGTATTGACAGTTCTTTGTTGCTCAAGCTGCAATTTTAAATACAGTGATTTTTCTTTTCACAATGATCATACTTTGATTTCTGATTTGACAGAAAAATACATTTTAAAAATAAACACAATAATGACCCCCAAAAATATGAAAAAGAAATCCTGAAAGAAAGCAAGGGAAAAAAGCTTTTTTGATAATTTTTTTAAATAAGGAAGATTACTTTTCCTCTAACCAAAAGTGTACAAGAACTTCCATAGAATATTTTGTTTCTACAGTTCAGCATTTTCTAATAGAAATCATTCCATTATGTAAAATTTCTGATCAGGTAACTAGATTCCTGTAAATCCAGGAAATAAATAATAGCTAAATACAATAACCAAACTGTGTTTCCTGCTGGGCATACAAGAAACCAATGGCAGAGTTTGGAACCAAACCCTTACTTCCATGTCCCAACACAGCTGATCAAGCAATGAATTTTTCTTCCTCATTTCTTCATTTCACTAATTTTATTTGCATTTCACTTTCCATTTAAGAGGCTATAGAAGTGTCCAAATGTAAGATTAGCTGTTGGTTACAGTACAAGAATGTATTTTAATAGTTATATTTATGTTTTATATATTGAAAAATTCTGTAAGAAAAGAGCATATATATTTAGCATAACACTGAGTAAATTCCTCATGGACTCAACCACACTTTTTAATCAAAGAACTATCATCATCATTCTCATATTGTTTCCTGGTACCTGCTGAAATAAAATGGATAATCCAAATCCTCAGAATGTTAGTAAAAATTTCAAAGATTTTATGTCTGTTTTGCTATTGAAATTGGTCAGATGTTGTCTCGTCACTCCCAGTGCAGCACAAATTAAAATCAGGTCCAATGGTCTTTAAGAAACAAACTATAGTTTTAAGATGAGAAAACAAGAGAAATTACCTGGGTCTTCTATCGATAAGTTCTTTGTTAACCATTGAACAATATCTGAACCTAGGAACAAAAAAAAGGTATTTATAGATTAGTAAGTTTTCTCTCACTATTCTTCAGATCCCTGAGGCAATTCATATTGTTCTTCCATGGAAGAGATCAGTATTTTTTTCTCCTCAGACTGCCTAGAAAAAAAGCACTGGCTATTCTATTTTAGTTTAGTTTCATTTTTTAGCTTTGTTTTAGCAGTGAAACATAGAACTTTTTTCTTTAGGCTTAGACTGATAAAAAGTAATACAAGGGCATTAAGTGTGCAATATTATCCACATTTTAAAAATTACACTACTGTAAAATGTCCATAGAAAAACACTCCATTAATCTAAGTTTCTACCCTCCCCCCCACTTAAAAATCAGTTTACTTGTAAAGGCATATTCAGATACCTAGATACAGGCTACCAGTGTATCAAATTTCACTTCATGGCTAAGCTCTTGACAAAATTCAGTTTCCCTCAGTGCTAAAGTGTTTTCCTTACCACTCCAATCTCCCTTGCTCTCTATTCTTTCATTTATAGCACATCCTTTTATTTTTATTTAAATTCCTTCCTTATTTTAAGGTCCCATGCTTTTGCTTGCCTCCTAACATCTTTGATACCAGATTTCTTCCTGCCTTTCACACTGAGTATCCTTCCAACCTCACCTCCTAATTCCTAACCCATCTGCTCCTCTTGGGCACGCACTTCTATCAGTTGCACTTCTATCACACTTTGCACTTTATGCCACAAGCTGAAGTCAGCCTTGTTTTTCAGATAGAAAGCTACAGTTGAACTTCACCCACTGTGAACATGATTTGCAAGATAAATTATGATGCATTGCTCCAGACAAAAAACCCAAACCACGTTCATCATTTGAGCAACTTGAAATAACCAAACTGGCCTAGAAGGAAAATGGGAAAAACACTGAGGGATGTTACATGCATGCTCTTCATGTTTAATCACACCCCGAGTTCAGACAAGCAATGTAATAGAGACACCACATATTTCCTTACCAATATTTGAGTTGCTCATCCATTTCCCACCAAGCATAATAACAAAAACAATAATAAAAATCTATACAATTTACAAAAATATAAACCAAATCAAATCAATAAAATCTCTTGAACATACTAGAATATATAACATTAGAATGTAGAATATACTTCCCCTGTCACTCCTCAGATTCAGATTTCTTCCTGTACTTTACATACTGCATAATTTCCTTTGCTTTTCTTAAGGCAATGAAAACAATATTTTAAAAAGGCATTTCAGAAAAGAAAGGAAAATTACTTCTCCTTCTAGCTTTTATTTTATTACACTAAGTGAATAGCTTTATCATGTATTTTACAAAGCCTCACTGATTATATCATAGCTTTCCATGTGTGTATGCATTACAAAAATGATTACATAGAAGTGAAAATCTCTAGAGACTTAACAACCATGTCTAGAGCAAACATTTTTCATTGCTATGTTAAATGTCTAAATTTTGATAGTTTTTAAACTGCAGTGGCAGAGTTTCTCATAGCATTTACATGACTTTATTCCTTAAATGAGGCACTTTAACTTTTCATGCTGTTGCAGGTACACAGAATGTTTCAGACAGATATTCCTACCCCAAAATATTTTATTTTTATAAATACAATTTTAATCCTTTTTTTATACATATGACATTTACAAGGTTGACACTGACAGAAGAATTTCAGATTAATATAAGACGAAACTTCATAAACCTCAATGACGCAGTTCCAAGCATAGCTATATTTTTCTGTCAGCTGACTAGAGAAGTTAGTCAGCCCTGAATATTTTCCTAAACCTTCAAAGATCAAAGACAAAAATCAGAAAAACAAAATGACATTTTGAATACTGATTTTTAACTTTGTCTGCTTTCAAATCTCTCAGGTACCATATGGGAAGAAGTTTTCTATTCTTTTTATCTCATCTTCAAACACTTTTTCCCTTTTTGCCTCCTTTGAAAACTTTCTTACAGTGATGTACTGTATTCCTCAGTCCTCAGCTCCCGGCCTCTCATTTGAGTGTATGTCTATATAGATGTATATAGACATATAGACCATATAGATGTATATGGTCTATACATCAGAAATTTCACCTCCATATGTTTCAGCGTCTTTTGACTTATTATAAATAATAGTAGGAAATCAAATTTCTTGAAAATGGCACCATCTGATTATGAAAGTTCATTGATGCTCTATTCATACTTTACCCTGAAGCCATTGCCTTGGCACATGAAAGCCTGGACAGGAGTTTAAGCCAGCTGTTTCATTCAAACACACTGATGATTTCAGAGGTACAACTTTAATGACATGTGAATAAATATCAACATCCACACTCTCCTTCTAGTGTGAAGGCTATTCAAGTAAAAAAAACTTGCAAGTAATTTGTCATATGGCAAGTGAGAAATGTATCAGTTAATATTTCTTTGGGAGACCTTAGGGCCGACTCTAGCCCTAAAATAATAAAGGTATTAACTTGTAGAGCTTGTTGGGTGCTTTTTTAGCTACTAGTTTTAATGTCTAATTAACAATATTGTTTCCCTTAATTATTCCAGAGCCCTTTTCTAAGGTTTATTACTTTTGCAGATGTATTTCTAAAAGCAAAACCATTACTCTAATTTCTTATCTCAGGAGAAAAAAACAAGGCAGTAAAACAGGTGAAAACAGGAAAATAATACTTTCTGTGAGTATAGCTTTGACAAAAACTACCAGTAAATTCATGACAGTTTTCATACACGGCACCTCACATCTATAGGAATAATGATCCAAGACTATAAATTTCATTATTTGTAAACAAGAACTAATACTTATAGGATGAAAAACCTTTAACCTTCAAACCTGATTCTATCTTATCATCAGAAATCTAGCAAAAAGACAAGCTAGCAAGATGATATAAATTTAATGGAAACCACTACCTTGGTACTGGTCTCACCTGAAAAGGAAAATTTCAGCAATCTAAAACAGAAAATGTTTGCTGTGTCAAACACTCAGTTTTTGTACACTGTTTAATGTGTGATATCAAAGACCCAGCTATAACATTGTTGAAGCAGATTCTCAAGTTCTCCAGGTCTCCCTTCCTCACTTCCATCAAGCAGCAAAAATAGGCAAGTTGGCTATTAGATCTGCAAGGTGCAGAAGACTTCAGTCAAATTGACAACAGAATTTTGAAATCCCAGAAAAACTTTCAATTGTCATTTCTAAATTAGAAGATTAAATTGTCATTTCTAATTTGTACATTTCTAAAAATTTCTAAAGCAAATAAAACTGGACAAGGGAAAGTAATAATTTTTAATAATACCTTAAAGCTAGCAAAAGAAGAAAACATTTGAAAAAAGGGGGTTCTTTAGACATAGAGCCTAAAAGCTAAGAGTGAGATTCCTTAAATGCCAGCACCTATCCCAATAAATGCAATAAATTCACAAGACCTTACTCTAGTCAAAAAAAAAAAAAAAGACTTTAATCTTCTTTAAAGAAATAGGCAAAAACATGTCTATATTCATATACAAATGAAAAAGACTCAGTCATGTTCTTTGTGAAATGTACTTGCTGAAAATTCCACAAGTGATTAATTTTAAATGAAATGGTCCCAAAATAGCAGTTGCTGAGGCTGTCACAGCATCTTAAGAAACTATTTTTGAATAAAGCATGCTCTCTGAACTCTGTAATACTGATTTTCAAGTCAAAGTCATAAAGGCCAGGGCAATGCTAAGGTCACCTTTCAGAGAAAATCACCTATTTTAAGCAAGTCCTTACAGAATATATTTTGAAAAGGTGCTCGTTCTGACCTATAGAAAATTTCACAGGAATTATACATCAAATTTTTGCTATGCATAGATGCAATGAGCTATGTAATCTTTGATCTGACAGAAAAATGATATGATAGTAGTACCTCAAAAGAAAAGCAAAATTCAAAATGCTCTATCTTTTCCAAAATTCAAAAACATATCTAGTGGAAGAAGAGACAGCTGCAAGAAAGCATATCTCACTAGTCAGAATCACAAACCAAGAGACCACTGAGAAAATTAATTCAAGGATTTCTTCCTTCATAAAGAGACAGGTTCAATCTTGCAAAGTAAATAGTCTTTAGCTGTTGATATCTTGGTTTAGTAACTAAAACCTTTTTACTTTTGGACCTCTGAGTATTTGCATGAAATGAAGAGGGAAAGTGATGCAGGAAGCTCCCCTGCATTGCTGATACCAAAAGAAAGGATTTTGCTGTTGACAATCAAGGCTTTTGCCATCTGAACTCTTAAGAGCAACATAATCATCGTGGTTATGTTTGCCCAGCACTGTGAAATCTGGGCAGCTGGGCCTGTTTGATGATGGAAGGCAGGAGCAGATAATTCGGGTGCTCCCGCAAGGGAGCCTTGTGGTTGGCTGGCTCAGCTTCAGTGCTTCACCACCACCTAGCCTTGAGAACCTGGAGAATTTTTTGCAGGGCAGCTCACAGTACAGAAAACTTAATAAACATGACTCCAGAAAATATCACTGTCAAAATTTAAAACAAGGCTGTTATTAAATTAGTAAGGAAGCAGTACTGTATTTCCATTATTTCTCTTTATATTTTATATTGAGACAGGAGGGTATTGGGTCATTTTAACTTCCATCACTTTGTGTGATACATCAGGAAATTAAGTTTAGTCACTGATATAAACTTCAAAATCCTTGATCATGACTGAAAAAAAAAATATAATGTGCAATTTCATTTCTCACCACTGATTCAGACACTGGAAACACAAAAAGTGGATTAGATGAGCAGGGAGATTGTAAAAGCCAGTGGTCTCTCAGGCTTTTAGCACTAGCTGTTTTCAAACAAAAATTGCTGTCTAATGGAGAGTTGGACTCTGCAAGAAGGGCCTTTCCCTGGTGAATGGGACAAAAAATTATCTGCATTCTCCCTGAAGTTTTCACACAAGAAATCATAGCATATATTGCCTCAATTATATCAGCATGGCTGTTTTATAATTTCTTTTCTTTATCAGAGAAGAACAGTTTGTGTACGAATTCTTCATGCATCTAT